TATAGTCAGAAAATTTTCCTTATTGCAAGACTGCAGAGCCTTTGACGTGCTGCTATAGTTTGTACCTCTTCAAGAGAGTGTATGAACATACAGTGTTTCTTAAACTTGCTTGATTTGAAACTCTTCCCACCTCCCTTTATTTCATCCTGAGGGACTAGTGTTCCTTTATGATACACCAATCTTACATCTTTCAGCAGGCCCAGGTGATGTCTGCTTGCAATGGAAGTATAATGAACAATAAGTGAGGTTCAAAATGAGAAACTACAATTGATCATGATAAAACTGCATTGTTTATAGAGATGTTAGCTGAAGTCATTTAAATGAATGGAATTGCCCACAGAAATAGTATAGAATGAAGAAAGTCTTGAATCACATGCAATTAATTTCAAAGTAGTGGGGATGAGACATTGGTAAGCAGTTAGGTTAGGAATGTGATAGGTTTTGTAAGTAAGGGAGGAGAGTGAAAAGCAATGTTAATCATTCAGAGTGTTAAAAGTAGTTTGAGATTTGACAATTAGGAGGTCACTTTTGCTAGTGGTAAAGTAGTTTTGATGGAACCGTAGGCAAGCCGGATTTCAAGAGGCTGGAGGAAATGAAAGCAAAAGTAAGATAAGAAAATGAGAAAAGAAGGAAAGGTTTCTGGATTGAGCTTTAAAAAATTAGCAAGGATTTTTTTTTTAAAGAATATAAGTGACTTAAATCAAGTTGGTGGGAGGGGGTAGGGGTTGGTGGAGAGGAAAAGATTGAATATATCAGGTAGGAGATACTTAATGGGGTGAGGTCCAGAAGAAAAGTGGGGAAGGTAGAATCAAAAAACAGTTTGGTGAGAAATAGGTAAAGGAGGAAAGATGGATACATTTTGAGAAGTTAAGGATATTGAAATCATGACTTCTAAGTGAAATAGATAATCTTTTGAGAAAGATGGACTTTTAAATGATATTGGGAACTTAATAGTAGGAGGTCAATTAAGGATGAGTAAAATAATGAAGTTTGATCCAGAAGTGTGGGTTTGTAGTAGTTGTAGTTACTACAACTTTGTGACTTTCTTCATTAGTGTTAAGCAGTATGGGGACAAGAATTTAGAAAGAAAAAAAAAAAAACGAGCTTAGTTTACTTAGAGTTAAAAGGTGTGGCAAGATGTGGGGGCAAAAAATAGACTGAGTGGGACGAGGAAGGCCAGGGGTCATAGGACAGTATGTTGTAGAATGAGAGTTTGACATTTGAGAACTTGAGAGGTAGAACAATTTTCCTAAAAGCTATTCATGAATGTATATTGCTGATACGGAGTTGTGTATAAATTTTTCAAATCAAAGTGAGTCCAGTCCATTGTTTTGAGTGAGTTGATTGATAGAAGTTTTAGTGCTTCAGAATGATGGTGAATAATAATGATAGAGGGGGAAACTCTGAACCCAGTATTGGTATTCTAGGAATGTTGGATAGGGTCTTGGCAATCACAAATATGGGTTGGAGAATATATCTACTTTATGGGAAATTTAAAGGAGGAATTTATTGCAGTAGAGTTAGAATATTAATTGGAAATGGTGGTGATGGGGGAGGAGATTGTCAATCTCTTCTCCTGTTTTACAGGTGGGAGAGAGTCTTTTTTTTTTTTTGAGTTGGAGTCTCTGTCACTCAGGTTGGAGTGCAGTGGTATGCTCACAGCCACCATAGCCTTGACCTGCTGGGTTCAGGCGATCCTTCCACCTCAGCCTTCCAAGTAGCTGGAACTACAGGAGTGTGCTACCACAACTGGCTAATTTTTGATTTATTGTAGAGACAAGGTCTTGCCAAGTTGCCCGGGGTGGTCTTGAATCCGCAGGCTTAGGCATTCTACTCGCATCGATCTCCCAAAGTACTGGAATTACAGGCTGAGCCACCGAGCCCGGCTGGGAGAGAGTCTTAAAGTAGTGTAATTAATAAGAAGCTAGGATTCAGTTAACCTAAGGTAGAGGAAATGTTCAAGGAAGGTATTCAGAATTTTAGAAAGTTATATTGACTTTGGAAAGAAATTTAGTGGATTAGGGAAGAGGTGCAGAGGATGTAGATGAGAGGGTAGAATTGAATTATATGCGATGAAAGAATAGCAAGGTGATAGACTGTAGGGACTGGCATCTTGGGTGAAGAATGTGATTCCTAGATCTGATGATGGAAGGCAGAGAAGTGAAAAGTAGATTAGAGGGGCATAGTAACACAGAGAATGGACTATGGCTAAGGTTGAGTACCTCTAGTGGACTGTGTCACCCTGAAATGTCCTTCCACTCATTTCTGTCTATCTAAAACTCACTCATTCTTCAAAGTCCCGTTCAGTCGTTCCTTTCCAAGAACGGTCTCCTAATGAATACAAGCTTAAAAAAAATGTATTCCTATTTCTGAACTTTCATGGGTCTTTGTGCCTCTTACATGATGTTTATCAAATTCCATCATACATTCTAGCTTGCTGATTTGTCTAATCTCTGATGCTATACTTTTAACTCCATGACAGGCACTATCTTATTCATCTTACCTCTCCGTAGCATCCAGTATTCCCAGAGTTCACTGGTTATGAGTACCAGACTGGTATCAGACTGGTGGTAAATCAACATGGTGACCTTGGGCAAGTTATTGAGTCTTCAAACCTAAATTTCTCAATCTATCAAATGGAGATAATAACATTATTGATTTCTTTCTTTCTTTTTTTTTTGAGTTGGAGTCTCACTCTGTCACCCAGGCTGGAGGGCAGTGGCACGCTCCTGGCCACCGCAGCCTCAACCTGCTGGGCTCAGGGGATCCTTCCGCCTCAGCCTTCCAGGTAGCTGGAACTACAGGCACGTGCCACCATGGCTGGCTAATTTTTTGATTTATTGTAGAGATGAGGTCTCGCCAAGTTGCCCAGGCTGGTCTCGAACCCATGGGCTCAGGCAGTCCTCTCACCTTGGCCTCCCAAATTGCTGGGGTTATAGGCATGAGCCACCGTGCCCGGCCTACCATTACTGATTTCATAAGACTTGTATAAGGATTAAATAAAATAATTTGTGAAAAGCAATTAGCATAATACCTGGCAATAGTAATTACTATTATCTCAAATAAATGTTATGAAATAAATAAATTGGTGAATGATTACATAAGGTACTTGGGAAAAGTTATGATTTTTAACTCATTATGACTCATATCTAATATGAGAATAATTACATAGACTTTTTTTCTATGTTCTAATATATTGTGGTCTCTTAAGGAGAGATACTTTTTTTTAAATTAAAAAAGCTCTTTTTTTTTTCTTTAAGATCCAGGGTCTTGCTTCATCACCCAGGCTGGAGTGCAGTGGGACAATCATAGCTCAAGCCAGCCTTAACATTCTGGGCTCAAATAGTCTTCCTACGCCAGTCTCCTGAGTAGGTGGGACTAGGCATGCACCACCACACCTGGCTAATTTTTAAATTTTTGGTAGAGACAGTCTCACTATGTTGCCTAAGCTGGCCTCGAACTTCTGGCCTCAAGTAGTCCTGCTTCGACCTCCTAAAGTGTTGGGATTACAGGTCTGAGCCACTGTGCCTGTCCCAAAGAGAGATACTTTAGTATAAAATATTGTAATGATAGTTACCATTCATTTTGCACTAGAAATATGCTGGACATGATGCTAAATACCTTTTTTTTTGAGTTGGAGTCTCACTCAGTCGCCCAGACTGGAGTGCAGTGGCCGCTCCCAGCCACCGTAGCCTGGCCTGCTGGGCTCCGGCGATCCTTCTACCTCAGCCTTCCGAGTAGCCGGAATTATAGGCATGTGCTACCACGCCGCCCGGCTGATTTTTTAAAGATTTATTGTAGAGATGAGGTCTCGTCTGACCAGGCGGGTCTCGAACCCGCGGGCTCTGGCAATCCACTCACCTCAGCCTCCCAAAGGCGTGGGATTACAGGCTGAGCCACCGAGCCCGGCCCCCCCCCCCTTTTTTTTGAGTCAGAGTCTCATTCTGTCTCTCAGGCTGGAATGCAGTGGCCACGCTCATGGCCACCACAGCCTTGACCCACTGGGCTCAGGCAATCCTTCTGCCTTAGCCTTCCTAGTAGCTGGAACTACAGGCATGTACCACCATGCCTGGCTAATTTTTCTTGATTTATTTTGGAGATGAGGTCTCTCCAAGTTGCCTAGGCTGGTCTCGAATCTGTGGGCTCAGGCAGTCCTCTCACGTTAGCCTCCCAAAGTGCTGGGATTATAGGCATGAGCCACTTCACCTCATGGCTAAATACTTTAATATCTCACTTTAACCTTAACAATTGAAAAGGTGGATAGTCTCCTCCATTTTACAGATGAGAAACTGAGTCTCAGAGAAGTCACAGCTAGTAAGCCAAGATACAAATTTAGATTGTCTAACTTTAAAAATCTGTCTTGAGCATGATAATGTACCAGACAGTCTCAAGTTTAATATGCTTATTAAAACACTCCAAAACTAACCTGGTTCAAGATGGAGCAACTCATTTACAAAAAACTCTAAAATGTTGGGAATTCACAATAGTATTTAATTAACGGAAAAGGGAAACATGCTACAAAACTGGGTGGAAGTACTTTTAACTCAATGAAATAGTTTGGGAATATTAATCTGTAATTGAAATTTAAGCAACTGATATTCCTTTTAAAAATGATATCTTTAGGCTGGGTGTGGTGGCTTACACCTGTAATCCACCAGTGTGCACTTCGGGAGGTCGAGGTGGAAGGATGGTTCTACTTACTGGGTGTCAGCTCTCTGTTCTGTTCTTAGAGCTAAGTGGGAAAGGTATGGTTTTTCTATTGTCATACACATGTTGTTTACTGGAGACATTTTGTGAGAATCTGTTACTTTTCTGACATGTGTAATTATTTTTGATATTTATGGTTAACCCTTCATTTTCTGTAAAATGTATCAGTATAAATTTTAAATCTAACAAGTTAATTTAAGACCTGAATGGGTGTGAAATTGTCTATTGTATTGTTTATCTTATTAAAATATTAAATGATAATTTTTACTATGTCTTTGGTTTTTGCAGAAATTGTTACAGAAGGAAAAAGGAAGAAGTCATCTTCTGATTTATCAGAGGTAGGCATTAGTTTCACTTTTTAACCTTTTCATTATTTTTGGAGTTATTGATATTGAAAGTATTTTGCTGTTTGTCTTTTTTACAACATTTTTAAAGAACATGCTGTAAAATTTTTAGCTAATTAGTGTTTTGGGGAAATGGTGTATTCTAACTAACTGAGGGTTAACCAGGAAACCCTTTCTGGTACCATCCTTGTTTAAATCATTGTAAGATGATCAGTATACTTTCTGGCCCTCATTTTAAGTTTTATTTAAAACATGACTCAACATTCTTTGATGACTGACTATATTAGAATTTCTCATGTTCACTCATTACTAATACTGTGGATATAGAAGAGTTGTACTCAAGGTATGTGCTGAAAATTACTATTTGGAATATGTTCTTTTAAACCTCATTATTTATTTCTTCTATATAAGTCAAGAATAGCAAAACAAGCAAAATGAAATTTTTGCCTGTGTAGGAAGTGTTTTAAAAATTTTATTGTTTTTAAAAATATATTTTTTTCTCTAGAATTTTGTGACTGAAATGTAGTAATACCCTGATTTATATTATAATAATTTACCAGCCTTTTTTCCCCAAAGCAATCTAAGTTAAGCACAGAGAATGTTAATTTGGTACATTTTTATGTTATACAGTTATAGCATTTAACGAAGGGAGAGAAATCATAAAGGAAGATGGTGAAAGGGAAATGAAAGTACTTTAGAAGACCACACAGAGAGTATGGCTTTAGGTACTGTTTTTCTTCCTTGGCTTACTTAAGATTTGCACAGTATGGTTCCTCCATTTAAAATTCTGGTTGGTTGCAGTGGCTCATGCCTGTATAACCCCAGCACTTTGAGAGGTGGAACTGAGAGGATTGCCTGAGCACAGAGATTGAAGACCATCCTGGGTAACTTGGTGAGACCTTGTCTCTATAGTAAATAAAAAAAAATTAGCCAGGCATGTCGGTATGCGCCTGTAGTTCCAGCTACTTGGAGGGCTGAGGCAGAAGGATCGCTGGAGCCCAGCAGGTCGAGGCTGCAGTAGCTGTGAGTGTGCCACTGTGCTCCAACCTGGGTGATAGAGTAAGACTCTGACTCAAAAAAAAAAAAAATTCTGGATTTAGTTTAAGTGGGGTGAATGGGGGGGCTAAAAGAAATCTTACAGTGACAGGATAAATACTGTACCAGTTTTATTTTATTTATTTATTTATTTTTTTGAGTTAGAGTCTCACTCTGTCACCCAGACTGGAGTGCAGTGGCCGCTCCCGGACACCGCAGCCTCAACCTGCTGGGTTCCGGCGATCCTTACCCCTCAGCCTTCCAAGTAGCTGGCATTACAGGCATGCGCTACCACGCCCGGCTGATTTTGTGATTTTATTGTAGAGATGAGGTCTCGCTGCCCAGACGGGTCTCGAACCCTCAGGCTCAGGCAATCCACTCACCTCAGCATCCCAAAGGCGTGGGATTACAGGCTGAGCCACCAAGCCTGGCTATATTAATGTTTTGAGTTGGGGTTTTACTCTGTTGCCAAGGCTGCAGTGGCACAATCATTGCTCACGCTTACTGCCTTGACCTCTTGGACTCAGGCAGTCCTTACCTCTCTGCCTCCCGAGTAGCTAGGACTGCAGATGGATGTGCTGTGCTTGGCTACATTTTTTGTCTTTTTGTAGAGACAAGGTCTTGCTTTGTTGCCTGGGCTCCATCAATCATCCTGTCTTGACCTCCAAAGTGCTGGGATTATGGTGCCACCTACCATGTCTGGGCCAACCCCAGTTTTAAATATCTCCTGTAGTGTTTACTGTTTTCTGCTTAATATAGCTTGTGAAGTGAAATGCCCTGCTTTAGGCTATTGCATCCTTTATGCAATTGATCTGAATTTCCACCAATAGAAATTCATAATTTTTTTAGAGTTGGGGTCTTACTCTGTCACCCAGGCTGGAGTGCAGTGGCACAATCACAGCTTACTGCAGCCTTGACCTTCTGGGCTTAGGCAATTTTCCCACCTCAGTCTCTCAAGTCTGTAGGTATATGCTACCACACCCAACTAATTTTTGATTTTTTTTGCAGAGATGAGGTCTTGCTATGTTGGTCAGGCTGGTCTTGAACTCCTGGGTTCAAGCAGTCCTCCTGCCACGGCCTCTCAAAGTGCTGGGACTATAGGCATGAACCACCACGCCCAGCCAGAAATTAATAATATTGAGTTAGCACATTTATCTTGTACAAATATACTTAAAAAAAGATAAAAAAAGAAAACAATTGCACAGATCTTAAAAAACCAGAAACATATGTTTCTCTTTCTGATTTTTAGATTACGGTATTTCTTAAGTTTTTTTTATTTACAGTGAACTTTAGACTTATAGAAAAGTTACAAAAATTGTGCAGAGTTTATTTGTACCTTTCACTAAGCTTCTAATGTTAATATATTACATAACTATAGTATAGTCATCAAAAAAAAAAAAAAAATTAAGCCAGACATAGTGGCTTATGCCTGTAATCCCAGCACTTTGAGAGGCAGAGACGAGAGGAGTACCTGAATTCAGGGGTTTGAGACCAGCCTGAACAACATGGCAAGACCTTGTCTCCATAGTAAATAAAAAAATCAGCCAGGCATGGGTGGCACATGCCTGTGGTTCCAGCTACTTGGAAGGCTGAGGTGGAAGGATCACCTGAGTCAGCAGGTCGAAACTGTGTTGGCTGTGAGCATGCCACTGCACTCCAGCCTGGGCAACAGAGGGAGACTCCAGTTCAAAAAAAAATTAATATTGGTACTGTACTTCAAACTGTAGACAGCATTTGAATTTCTTTAGTTTTTTTTTTTGCTCTGTTCTTTTTCTGTTGCAGTATCCAATCTAGGATCCCACGTTGCATTTAGTGTCACATCTCTTTGGATTCTTCAGTCTGACAGTTTTTCAGTCTTTCTTTTTTCATGACTATGACACATATGGAGAATATTGGAAAGTATTTTATAGAATATCTCTCACTTTTGGGTTGTCTCAGGTTTCTCATGATTAGATTAAGAACATGACTTTTTGGGAAGAATACCACAGAAATGGTGTGATGATAATTTCTTACTAGCTGGGTGTGGTGGTTCAAGCCTGTAATCACAGCACTTTGGGAGGCCGGGGCGAGAAGATTGCCTGACTTGCGTCTACAATTAAAAAAAAAATTAGCCTGGTGTGGTGGCACATGCCTGTAGTTCCAGCTACTTGGAAGGCTGAGATGGAAGAATTGCCTGAGCCCAGCAGGTCAAGGATGCAATGGCTGTGAGCATGCCACTGCACTCCAGCCTGATCAACAGAGTAAGACTTCAACTCAAAAAAAAAAAAAAAAAGAAAAATTTCTTACTAGGGATGTCAACCTTGAGCATTTAGTTAAGAAGGTGTCTGCCTGGTTACTCCATTGTAAAATTACTCTTTCTCCCTTTATAATACATCTTGGGGGAGGTAGTTTGTATCTTTGCAAATACACTATTCTCATACTAGCATCTGTCAGTGGATCTTGCCTGATATAATTATATGTGTGGCATTCTTTTGGTGGTTTTCTTTTTTGCTCATTCATTCTACATTTATGAAAATTGAAATTCTTCTGTAAGATAGAACTCTCCATCTTCCTCCACTTATTTATGTAATTATTTATTTGTATCAATATGGACTTACAGGTATTTATTTTATTTTGTGGGTTATAATTTTTTTATAATCAATATTTTTTATTATGATATTGTAGGGTACAGTTAAGAGTTAGATATACAAATATGCTTTGTTCAGGCACCCTTGTTGATAAGAGGTGTCCCCGTCCCCTGACAGATGTTTACTACCATTAATCCCATTTCCCTTCTCCCCCCGCATAGTTTCCCACCACTGCCAGTCATTTTCTTATGGTATTACGTTGGATGATCAAGGTCCACTATATGAGTGAGAACATGTGATACTCAGATATTTGTTTCTGTGAGAGGTCACTCAGTATTATAGACTCTAGTTCCATCCAGGTTGCTGCAAAATTCATGATTTTGTTCTTTTTTATGGCTGCATAGTATTCCATCGTGTATATGTACCACATTTTTTTAATCCAGTCCTCTTTTGATGGGCAGCATGGTTGGTTCTAGTTTCTTGCTATTGTGAACAATGCTGCGATAAACATTCGTGTGCAGGTATCTTTTTGATAGAGTGATTTGAGTTCTTCAGGGTATATTCCCAGTAGGGGGATTGCAGGGTCATATGGAAGGTTGATATTTAGAGCTTTTAGGAATCACCACACTGCTTTCCACAGATGTTGCACCAGTTTGCACTCCTACCAACAGTGTAGAAGTGTTCCCTTTTCGTCACACCCTCTCCAGCAACTGTTATTTTTTGAGTTATTGATAATTGCCATTCTGACTGGAGTTAGGGGGTATCTCAGTGTGGTTTTGATTTGCATCTTCCTGATGATTAGTGAGGTTGAACATTTCTTCATGTGTCTGTTGGCTGCTCGGATGTCTTCCTTTGAGAAGTGTCTGTTCATATCTTTTGCCCATTTTATAACGGGATTGTTTGTTTTTTTCTTTTCAGCATGTTTGAGTTCCTTGTAGATCCAAGATGTTAAGCCTTTGTCAGACCTGGAGTTGGCAAATACTTTTTCCCAGTCTGTAGGCTGTCTCCCTGCTCTCTTGATGGTTTCTTTGGCTTTGCAGAAGCTTGTCAGTTTAATAAGGTCCCACTTGTCTATCTTATCTCTTTTTTTTTTTTTTTTTTTGAGTTAAAGTCTCACTCTGTCGCCCAAACTGGAGTGCAGTGGCCGCTCCCGGCCACCACAGCCTCGACCTGCTGGGCTCCGGCGATCCTTTCACCTCAGCCTTCCAAGTAGCCGGAATTACAGGCATGCACTACCACACCCGGCTGATTTTTTTGATTTATTGTAGAGATGAGGTCTGGCTGCCCAGGCGGGTCTCGAACCCGTGGGCTCAGGCAATCCACTCACCTCAGCCTCCCAAAGGCACGGGATTATAGGCTGAGCCACCGAACCTGGCTTATTTTATGTCTTAT